AAGCACCCTGCCAGCCTACCCAGAAGAAATCCCACACTGCCAGTTGCATTCTTGCGCTGACCGACTGCCCGGACGCCGTGTTTTGCCTGCCGCTCGTCTCTCTGATGCCCACTGCCCGCTAGTCTACCCGCCTACCCGTGTGCAGTCGGTGGGATTCGAACTCTATTCAATTTAAATTCATATCAAACACTCAATCATTTTGCTGTAATCTTTTTTTGTTAAATCATTTAAATAAATAATTTTTTTAATATTTTATTTAAATTATTTAAAAGTAGCTGGAAACGTCGTCGGAAAATTGATTGCCGAAATCCATCGGAAAATAGACGGAAAGCCGCCGGAAAATTGACCACCGGAAAGCCGCCGAAAAATTCTGCCGGTAATGGGTGATTTTCCTATAGTGATCTCTAGGATAAAAACTATTTTTATGTCTTTTTAAAAAAATTGTTTCATTCCAATTTCAAGTATTAATTGAGTTGATCGGTATGCATTGCGTTAGAAACACACTTAAAAAGAGTCTAAATCTTAATTGCTTTTTTGTCTTTAGCATTTTCATCCAACATAAGTCAAGGGACCACTTAAGACAACAACTAGATGTTGAACCCAGCTCTCTAGAACCTTAATACAAGTGTCCCTACCACTCTTTCATAAAATGATCGGACTCATGGATTTAAAATTGACTAGGTGGTTAGCTGGCTCCCAAAACCAGGCTAGGGTAAGTCCATATTTTGTATTACATTAGTTAGGTTTGGGACACCATTATTTGGTGCCCACTTTAGATTTAGGATTTGGAGCATATTTTGAATTATAAGACCCCAACCTCTAGGAATACAATCCTAAACTTTTAATAAAACGTTCAACTCAAACTAAATCTTTTTTCAATCCAAAACTTAAAGTCCAACACATAGATTAGGTCGGGATACTTATGAATTATTTCATATTCTCCAAGTGTCTCCTACCCTTCTTCTGTTGACTCCAAAATAAGTGCTCCAATTTCAATCCATTCCTAGTTGAAATTTCAAAATCCAATTACTTTGATATCACTCGTAGAAAATCATTAAATAAAATGTTGTAGTTATTTTAATAAAGAGTATTCGTAGAAAATTTTGATTTTTATGATGTAATTAACTATGAAGGCTTGCACTTGTAGGAGATTTAGAACTCACATCTATTTTTAAAATCAAATTTCAAAACTTAATTGATATTTCTTTTGGGAAATCAAATTTATAATAATTGTCATCATCATGTTTGAATGATTGCTAACGGATGATATTTTCTTTCTCCGTGGAGATATATCATGTATTAATATAAATTAGAATATGAAATTAGCGATCACATATCTTGATTACCATAGTTCAATATTTGGCTAAACTTCATTTTGACCCTCTAGGGTCATATGTGGTCTTACCTTAAATTAGGCTATGATATTCAAGACAAAATCTACAATTTTGGATCTGAATCAGTTAAGGGATTTCATTTTCACCTTCTGAGGTAATAAATCACCCTTAATGGTTAATTCGATTTCAAAATTAAAATCTAAACTTAATCCCAAATTTCCCAAAAAAAATTTTCAAAATTCAAATTAGTCTTCTTTGAAAAAATTGAACCAATGACAATCGTTATCGTTATGTTTGAATAATTACTAATCAATGATATCTTATTCCTTATAGGAGATATATCCTTTGTTAATAAGGCTCTAGGCATGAAATTAATGATAATTAACCTAGAATATCATAGTTAGAAATTAAATCAAACTCTATTTTGACCTTTTGATGTCATACACAGTTCTTTCTTGAATCTAGTTATGATATTCAAGGTACGATTTGCAATTCTAAATTTGAACCCCTTTTTGAAATCTTATTTCCACCCCTCCAGGTGGTATGACTTTTCTAATGGGATGTTCGACCTTAGAATTTGAATCCAAAGTCAATTTCAAAATTCCAAAGAAAACTAACACTTTTTAAAACCCGCTTTCAAACTTCCACCAATAGAGGGAGAGGAAGTGTGTTCTACAAAGTTAGCTAAAAACTATGTATACTCTTAGAGATGGTGAAATATCATTTTTGGATAAGGATTTTTCTAAAGATGAACTTCAGTTGGTGGTTAATAAACTTGGGAGTAATGTTTCTGCAGACATTGATGGGATTACTCTCTTTTACTAAATATTATTAAGGAATCATTAGTGAAGATGTTTGGAAGGCCATTAATCAGTTCTTTTCATTTGGTAAGATGTCTCCCACTTGGAAAGAAACTCTCATTATTCTCATTTCAAAAATTAGTAATCCGGTTATTCCTTTGAATTATCGTCCAATTAGTTTTTGCTTGTCTATTTATAAATTGGTGGCAAATTTTTTTTAAATAAACTATAGATGGTTATTCATAAAATCATATTAGAGGAACAAGCGGCTTTTATTAAAGGCCAGTCTTTATCTGACCATATTTTGTTGGCTCAAGAAGTGTTCAATAAATTCATGTTTTCTAAAGCTAAGAAAGGATTGGTGGCTTTTAAGGTAGATATGGAGCAATCGTATGATAGCATTAGGTGGTCTACTTTAAGGTAAGATCTAGAGTATTTTAATTTTCCTTTAAAATTTTTTGAGCTTCTTTTGGAGTGTGTGGTGGATCCAAGATTTTCTATATTGGTGAATGGAAATAATTCTACTTGGATCGAAGCAAGGAATGGCTTTAGACAAGGATATCCCTTGTCTCCTTATTTGTTTATTATTTGCTCCCAGCTTTTGACAAATGCTTTTATACAAAAAGGAGGTAATCTTGGAATTAAAATTGATACTAATACCCCTAAGATTTTGCACTTACTATATGCATATGATATTCTTGTTTTTTATGAAGCTAATTATAAAAGTGTGAAAAAATTAAAAGATATTCTTTTTAACTACAACAAGTGGTCGAGACAAATTATTAATATGCAGAAATCTTTCGTTATATTTGGAAAATCTATTAACATGAAGAAGAAGAAAGCTATTTCTCACTTGTTGAAATTCAAAGTTGTGAAGGAGTTGAATTATTTTGGAGTAAAGATTACTTTGAGGAGGCTTGTTGTTTCATAATTTCACAATATGATGGAAAAAGCATGGAGTAAATTGAATTCTTGGTCTAACAAATTTATTTCATTAGAAGGAAGGATGGTTCTTGTTAAATTTGTTTTTCTTTCTCTTCCCATATTTTTGGCTACGTATTCTCTTGTACCTATGGGAATTTTAAATAAATTTGATAAAATGTGTAGATGTTTTATCTTGCATAAGAACAATGATAAATTTTGTCTTCAATATGTTGCTTAGGAGGTTTTATGCAAACCAAAAAACAAAGGTGGACATGGGTTTCATCTGCAGTTTCTAAAGCAGGCCCTCTTCGTACTATATTTGCTTGGAATCTTATAGGTAAACCCAACTCTCTTCTGAACCGTAACTTGATTGCAAAGTATGGTAGTGATATTTGGAATGCTGAAGTCAAGAGAGGATGTTCAGCCACTTGGAGAATTATTGTGAATGGTGCTCTGTCCCTTCGTCAGATTGTTAGATGTGAAGTTGCAAATGGAGAGTCTATAAATGTGCTAAAGGATGTCTAGATTCTTGATAGGAGTGTGCTGAAATGGCCAACTTTTGTTGCTAATCTGGAAGAGGTGGGTTATGGCCTTAATAATTTTATTTCTGATGGCTCGTGGAATGTTGCTCAATTGGGAAAATATTTTGGTAAGCAGTTGGTTGATTTATTCTTCAAACTCCTATAAATACTTCATTGTAATGGATCATATAGAGCTAAATGCGAGGATGTCTGGGAAAACTATTGCTGGAATGGTTACTAAATATTTGATTGAGGATTCAGTTGAAGAAAATTATTGGAACTGGATTACAAAACTTAAACTTATACCTTGTGTGGAACTCTTTTAGCGGCGTATTTTTAATGATGTGATACCATCTAAGGCTTTTTTACTACATAGGAGGCTACCGAATCAGAATACTTGTTCTAGAGGATGTGCTGCGGTGGAAGATGAGAATCATATAGTTGTTGGATGATCTTTACTTATCCCTGTGTTAAAACTTCTGAATAAATGGGTTTTCAAGTTCTGACCTTTTCTTCTGTTGTAAATTGCATTTATAAGTTGAAAAGGCTTTCCCATAATAATCCTTTTATTGGAACCTTATACTGTACAATAGTTTTCTTTTCTTGGAAATTTAGGAATAAGGTTATACATGGTGAGAAAGAGGATGGTTTGGTGTTTATTGTTGCAAATGCTTTATGTTTTGCTTCGGCTTCTTCCCTTCCTCATATTCATTCGGGAATTTGGGATGCTAATCAGTTATTTCAGTTGTCATCTTCTTCTTAGCATCCTTCTCCACCCGAATGGCTAAAGGTGAATACAGATGCTTGTCTTTTAAGATCTAATAGAGCTGGTGTTGGTGGTGTATTTAGAGATCATAAAGGGAGGTTTTTGTTTGCTTTTGATTTTATGTGTTTACATTGGGATGTAGCTCAGTTGGAATTGATGACAATCAGTTCATTGGAGAAGGTTATTGAAGATTGAATGATGGAAGCAAAATGTATAATTAATTAATGGGACAATTTCAATATTATTAAACTTCTTCAAGGTTCTTATAGATGTTCCAAGTTAAAGTACAACCATTTCTTGGAGGGAGATTTTTCTTTTCTAAAGGAGTTTAATCAAGTTATTTTTAATTTTTCCAAAAGAAGTTGTAATAAGTTAGGTGATTTATGTGCTAACTATGCTTTACTTAGTGATTTTATTTCGGATTACATTAGTAGTGTTGACATTCCTCCATTTTTGCCTTTGTTAAAGGAGGAATGTGATGATTTAGTTTCTTTTCATTAGATTGTAATTTCTTTTTCTTTTTAATGCTATTGCCATTTTCTTCAAAAAAAAAAAAAGAGCATTCTTAATAAATTTTATTTAGAGAGATTTACATACATACCACTTAATACTATGCTATTTACATTGTTATAAGAGCTCCAATTCTTTTCTCTATACAGGTCTATAAATTCTTATGTCGCCGAACTCCAATTTGAAACCCTAAGGAGCGGAGCTGCTGGGAGAACCACAGTTTTGTTGGCTTAGGTTCCCGGAGGTGGAGGCGGCAATGGAGAATCCTCAGTAATACAGCTATTTTTACATGATCTGATGTATTCTGTCTATTTTTTAATCATATAATTTCCTTCTCATCCACAGGCCTTCAAGCGCACAAAATGGTGGCCTTAACAAGCACGGCCACAGCCACCTTAATGTCATCCGCTCCTTCAGCTTGGGGAGGTGCTGTACCAAAGTGCTTGGGTCTTTTCTAAGCTGTTATTTTTTGAAAATCTCGTGCGTCCATAAAACCTGGGCAACATGATACTACCAGATATGAGGAAAATAGTATTTCATTTTTGGAGGGAGTTTGTAGGGGTGTGATCGTGAAAATTTAATCATTTATTCTAAAATGAGTATTATTATGCTGCATATTTACTATAGCTTTGCTGGTTGAAGTCCATACCATTGTGAGGAGGGATTTACATACCTAGAACTCAAAACATTAGGTTTTAGATACATGAACTTTATTATTTACATTACCTAACACTTGGAGTTAATGGACCTAGCCAAGGAGGAGGGAAGAGGTAGATTGCCTTTGTTGACCAAGCTCCTGTACTTGGTGACTCGTCAGAAATGGTGGACGTGTTGGACGGAGCTATAAATATGGCAATGGTGGCGGCTGGGAGGGGAAAACATGGCTAAGGAAGTCATGATGGGCAATTAGGGCCACTAGACCGATGGCTATAAAGGATGATGAATTGATGGGGAAGTGAAGGGATTGGGCAACGCCGTGGGATGGTTAGGGGAGGTTTTTTTTTTTGATATTTGGATTGATTTGCATGTGAATAGTGAAGTTTTATGTTAAATATATAAATCTTAATATTTTGAGTGTTATATATTATATGTAAATTCATTTGTTTCCTCATGTTATGAAAATTGAGCAATTGGGCTTACACGTTTATTTATTTATTTATTTTGGCTCCTTGTGATAAGGCTATCAACGTGTTTATAGGGAGGAACATATTGGAACAAGCTGCCATGAGGTTTGTTCTAGAGGCATGTGTCAATGATGACATTGCTACAATCCTGATTTTCTTAGTTTTTAACTGATTGAATTCTCTAATTTCAGTTTATACCCTCCTAAATATGCATGTTAATTTGCAAAACTGTTTTTCTAGTACCATCCACATATGTTGTTATTTCGCACTCCTACTATAGGGTCTATGAGCCTTCCTGGTGATTTAGGCACAGGGTATTTCATCCATAACTGTAATTCATGCCTTGGTTTGTTTGGTGAAACCATTTGCAAATTCAACATTTATTAATATCTTATTTTACAGATGACTTGTCTTTCAAAAAGAGGTCATCCTGCACTAATTTTTAATTTTCTAAAGAACTTCTTTGAATGATCAGCACATCCAAAAGCAAGCATTGATCAATATGTATACTAACTACTGCCTACTTGGATCTTAAAGAGGCTTAAATAGATCCGTGATTGCTACCATTTCATGGAAATTGGATCCCTTATGTTATATATTTTCTTTTTTTTTGGTCTTTTTGGGCTTATTTTTCTTGGCTTAAGCTAAGCCAAGCCTGGCTAAATCTGCTAAGTTGTTAATCAAGGTTAAGTTGTTTGTTTGGTGAAAAGAATGAGATGCTCTAAGCTAACAGGTTAAGAAAATTGTTTAGCTGGTTTCAGGCTTAGCTTATGTTATATTTGACAAATCATCATGATAAATTATTAATTAATGTGTCTGCTTCAATTTGTTAGTTGTTTGATTAATTATGATTATGCTGTTGGTGATCATTCTTTTCCATGAGTAAAATTTAATAAAAATTTGGGTTTCACCTCCTAATAATTAACATATAAAAATTCATAAACATTGCATTTAATTCGTGCTAGCAGTTATCAAAGAAAAAATTTAATATAGATTCAAAATTTAGTACAATGCTCCAACAATACTCTTCAATTGCTGTCAAACAATATAGAATTTAATGTTGAGTCATAAATTACATTATTCTAGCAATGATTTCTATTATCACATTAGAACATTAATTATAGTAATTAGTTACATGAATTTGAAGAAGTATAATATTAATATACAACAACAACAAAAACATCAAGCCTTTATCCCACTACGTGGGGTCGGCTACATGAATCCTTTTTCTCCATTGTGTTCTATTAAAAATCAAATTCTCATTTAAATCTAATAGAGAAAGATCATTTCTAATATTTTCTAACCAAGTCTTTTTAGGTCTACCTCTACCTTTCTTAACATAAGTCAAATCTAATACCTATACTTTCCCAACCGGGTCATCAGAATGCCGCCGTTTTATGTGACCAAACCATCTAAGTCGGCTCTCTCTAATATTATCAAGCATAATATTAATATGAATGCGATATCACTTTCCAACAATGCAAATAATTTAAAGCTTCTTGAGAATATCTTTCATAATTTTTGGTCAATTACTTTGTTGGCTCAGTGAGGGTTCATCTAATAAGTATGGAGGAGGTGCACTGCTTTTTCATAACTTCTACTTCATGAAAACAAGATCCATTGCAACTATTAACTTGAGTTGACGTTCCACACAAATATTATGTATCCAAGTTATTACTGATTCATTTCATGATTATTCAACAAGTTTTATGCTATTTATCGACTACCTAACACAATCCTCTACTGTTATCATCCATGGCTTGTTTCATTGCAACGACAGTGTTGATGAAACTAATTTGACTAATGAGTATGAATGAAAATTGATATGAGCAGATTATTTAGAATGAATACTATCTTCCAAAAGGCAATAAATTAAGGAAAGGGAATAAGAGCCATGTGAAATACAGAAGATTGAAGACTACCATATGCATTATGTATAATCTATGCATCCCAATTGAAGGAAGAGGACATCAACACAAGAAGCCATAATACCAAAAATAGGATATATTGTCATGTTATCATAGTTAATTAATGCCATGATAAGATACGTAAAAATAAATAAGCCTTGGAAGTACATTTTTGCATCTAAAGGGACAAAAGATATTCTTACATGTCACATGCAAGATATGTAAAGGATAAACACCCACCAGCATAGTTTCAACTCATTGACGAATAACTTAAAACATATAATGCAAACTACAAATGGAATTGAAATCATTCACCTAGCAATATGGAGTGTGGGTTACATTTCCTTCATTTAATCGAACGGAATCACTAATGAAACAAGTGACAGTTACTAAATGCAATCATGACTGCACCCAAACATTAAATTACATCATTAAAACTCATCAAAATGATCAATACAATAACTCCTAACATAAAATAATGAGTTTGACCATCAACATCATGCAATTTGATTGATTTAATATTAGCATGGATTTGATAAATTAATTGTCATTTAACTTTTTTTTTGTTATGGTCATTATTGCCATTACAACAAACTGTGAAGAAGGTCGTCAAACCAATGTAAGAATGGAAATTAAAGAAGCTTTAGCAGACAGAAAATTTCTACTGCTGTAACTTATTGTAAATCAATAAGCTTTAATGTATGGGGCAAATTATTAGGCACAACTGGATTCCCCTTTTTTTTTTTTTGGAAAAAGGATTCCCTTTTTAGAGGGTGCTCTTTAGAAAAACCAAAATTATCTGATGGCAGCTTTGATCTTGAGAATAACTGGTGCTTTGGTAGAGTAACGGAGAAAATTTTCTGTGTTCAATAATATATGGTCCTTGAGTAAAGCGGTAAACTTCTATTTTTAGAGGAGCTTTAAGAAAAGTTTGACTTGATTGTGAAGTCCATCAAATCCAAAAGCAAGCATTGATCAATATGTATACTAACTACTGCCTACTTGGATCTTAAAGAGGCTTAAATAGTCCTTGATTGCTACCAATTCAATGTATCTGCTTCAATTTGTTAGTTGTTTGATTAATTATTATTATGCTGTTGGTGATAATTCTTTTTCATGAGTAAAATTTAATAAAAATTTGGGTATCACCTCTTAAAAATCAACATATAACATTTCATTAACATTGCATTTAATTCGTGCTAGCAGTTATCAAACAAAGATTATAATATAGAATCAAAATTTAGTACAATGCTCCAACAATACTCTTCAATTGCTGTCAAACAATATAGAATTTAATGTTGAGTCATACATTACATTATTCTAACAAATGATTTCTAATATCATATTAGAACGTTAATTATATTAATTAGTTACATAAATTTGAAGCATAATATTAATATGAATGAGATAAAACAATCCAACAATGCAAATAATTTGAAGCTTCTTGAGAATTTCTTTCATAATTTTTGGTCAGTTACTTTGTTGGCTCAGTGAGGGTTCATCTAGTAAGTCTGGAGAAGGTGCACTGCTTTTTCATAGGTTCTATTTCACGAAAACAAGCTTCATTGTAACTATTAACTCGAGATGACATTCCACACATGTTATGTATCCAGGTAAATTCATTTCATGATTATTCGACAAGTTTTATGATGGTTGTCGATTACATAACACAATCCTCTACTTTTATCATCCAGGGCTTGTCTCATGGCAACAATAGTGTTGATGAAAGTAATGTGACTAATGAGTATGAATGAAAATTTGATATGAGCAGATTGTTTAGAGTTGAATATTATCTTCCAAAAGATAATACATTTAGGTAAGAGAATAAGAGCCATGTGAAATATAGAAAATTGATGACTACCATATACATTATATATGATCAATGCATCCCAATTGAAGGAAGAGGACATCAACAGTAGAAGCCATAATACCAAAAATCGGATATATTGTCATGTATCCATAGTTAATTTATGCCATGATAAGATACCATAAAACTAAATAAGCCTTGGAAGTTAATTTTTGCATCTAAATGGACAAATTATAATATTACATGTCACATCAAGATATTTAAAGGATAACAACAGCCACCACCATAGTTTCAACTCATTGATGAATAACTTAAAACATATAATACAAACTACAAATGGAATTGAAATCATTCTCCTAGCAATATGGAGTGTGGGTTACATTTCCTTCATTTAATCAAGTACCTGTTGGATTCAGAATCTGATAGGAAACACTTGTAGATCTCAAGTATTTCCTGTCAATATTCAGAAAACAACAAGAATTCTCCATAAAAATCCACACAAAACCACCAAAACAATAGAGAATTTGTATTATTTGATGAAATAGAAACGAAAAATAGCATGATATAGTTGATCCTCAATTCGAGAGGAGGATCAATCTCCCAAATCTCTGGACGCCGCTATAGCCCAAAAACCTAAACCTAAGAGATCTCAAATTTCAGCCAAATTCAAGATGTCATAACCCTAAAAAATTAAACTATTTAATGCATACAATTCAAAAAGAAATCTCTAAACAGTCCCTACATTCAATTTCTCTCCTAAAGTTCATCAAAAATCCTTCAAAAATTGCTCTGTTTGAATTGGCGGTTTGATCGACATGCAGGAGGCCAAGATTGGCGGAGAGTTCCGCCTCTATTGTTCATAAGTCGGTCTGATATGGACCGGCTGAACCGGTCTAATAATACTCCCCTCACAAAGATCCACCTTGTATGTAAGGTGGAAAAACGACACCCTCCATTTCTTCTTCATCATGAATGGTAAGAACCTGAAGAGTTATGTTCTTACATCTGTGCCCCGGCATATAACTCTTGTCACATCTGAAGCAGAGCCCCTTTACCCTTTTTTCCTATAATTCCATTTATGTGAGCTTTTTGAAGTTGCCCCCCCGGTCTTACTCCTATTGTCTTCTCCTTCGAAGTCTCCCTAAGAGTACCCAGTGTCACCTCTTTGGGTGCTAGAAAGGTGGTGGTCCTTTGGTTTTGACCTCCTGAGTTACCGCCTCTCGTATCTCTTTACAGGTGTCTCTGATCCTCCACCAATTGAACTAGTTTTATAGTCTCTCCCGATTCACGAGGTCTTATTACTCTAACCACTGCTCGGATCTCTGGCGTTAGTCACTTCATGAAATTTTCCTCTAGAACTATCTCAGGAAGACGGTCCAATCGACTAGCAAGGTACTCAATCGCTTTCGATACTCAATCACTGCACCATCCTGTGTCAAGGCGAAGAATTGCTCGTAGGAGTCTCCTCCTCTGCTGGTTTGAAAACATTCCAACAGGCAGTCCTTAAACTCCCTCCAGGTCCTTAGGCGTATCCCTCCATTGGTACCAAGCTAAAGCTTTCCCTTCCAAGTACATTATGGTTGTCGTCAGCTTCTCCTCTTGTCAACCTGTTGACAATAAAGTACCTTTCCATCCTGTAGATCCACCCATGTGCATGCTCTTCCTCAAAAATAGGCATCTTTAATTTCCTCACCCTCAGAACGCCTACTTTCCCTTTGTTCCCTTCATAATTTTCCCTTCCCCAGGGGGTGGTTATCCCCAAGTGTCCCAATCATCCCTTCTACGTTCATACCTCAGCCTTTCATCAAATTTTCACATTCTCTTCTCAAATTCAGCACCCATTGGATCATAACAAACCCCTCCCTTTTCAAATTCAGCCTCCTTTGGTCATAATTATCCATTTCTCTTTTCAATCTCGCCCCTCTCCTCTCCAAATCAACACATTCGTTCTTGCCCTACCTCCTTATGCCTCTCCTCATACCCTCTGCTTGACTCTTCCTTAGGAATAGGCTCTAGGAGAGGTATTCTCTCTTCTCCCTTTCGAGTCTCCACCTCCTGATCTCCCCTTTGCCTGATTGGCTCAGGATTTTTCCCATCTCCCTGCCTGTCGATGCCTTCTCTCCCCTCCGACGGTAATATTTTGGTTTGGCTCTCAAGCATTTTCTTCAACATCTCCCCTAGGCTGGAAACATTCTCATCCATCTTCTCGTGGATGGCTAAAATGTCTTTCTTTAAATCTAAAACTTGAATTTATAGATCTGAAATTTTTGATTTCATTTGTCTGATCTCCATTTCAAGGCGATCCTCCAACACATCCAGTTTCTTGGCTGCAATCAATACCCGGATATTTGTAGACTCAAAAATCTTGAATTTGACCCTTGAAAACAACAAATAACCGCTCTTCCAGTTGAAAAACAACAGCTGGTTTCACAGAAAAAACCCCAAAACAATCCCAAAATCTGCCACGATACCAATTTGATAGGAAACACTCGTAGATCTCAAGTATTTCCTGTCAATATTCGGAAAACAACGAGAATTCACAACAAAAATCCACAGAAAGCCATGAAAACAGTAGATAATTTGTATTATTTGATGAAATAGAAATGGAAAATAGCAAGATACAGTTGATCCTCAATTCTAGAGGAGATTCAATCTCTCCCAAATCTCTAGACGCCGCTAGAGCCCAAAAACCTAAACCTAAGATATCTCAAAATTCAGCCAAATTCAATATGCCCTAACCCTAGGAAAACAAACTATTTAATGCGTACAATTCAAAATGAAATCTCTAGACAGTCCCTACATTCAATTTCTTTCCTAAACTTCATAAAAAATCCTTCTAAAACCACTCTTTTTGAATTGGCAGTTTGATCGACATGCAGGAGGCGGAGATTGGCGGAGAGTTTTGCCTCTGTTGTTCGTAAGCCAGTCTGATATGGACTGGTTGGACCGGTCCAGTCTAACATAATACTAATGAAACAAGTGAAAGTTACTCAATGCAATCATGACTGTACCCAAACTTTAAATTTCATCATTAAAACTGATCAAAATGATCAATACAATATATCATAACATAAAATAATGAGTTTAACCATCAACATCATGCAATTTGATTGATTATATATTAACATAGATTTGATAAATTAATAGTCATTTAACATTTTTTTTTTTGTATGGTCATTGCCATTACAACAAACTTTGAGGAAAGTCATCAAACCCATGTAACAGTGGAAATGAAAGAAGCTTTAGCAGACAGAAAATTTCTACTGTTGTAACTTATTGTAAATTAATAAGCTTTATTGTATGAGACAAATTATTAGGCACAACTGCATTCCCTTTTTAGAGGTTGCTCTTTAGAAAAACCTAAATTATCTGATGACAGCTTTGATCTTGAGAAGAACTGGTGCTTTGGTAGAGTAACGGAGAAAATTTTCTGTGTTCAATAATATATAGTCCTTGAGCAAAGCGGTAAACTTCTATTTTGAGAGGAGCTTTAACAAAAGTTTGACTTGATTGTGAAGTCCATCAAATCCTCTTTCTAGGGATATAAATATTCACTCAGATTTGTTTATTATGTTTATCTCCCCTTTCATAATAAACAAACTTTGGCAGAGCAATTTGTTTTACCGCTAGTTTTTGGAAATGGAGGTTTAGTTCCAAAAGTTAATCACCAAAGTTTCAATGATATTTATTTATTTCCTATGAACTCTTTTTTTTGCGAATTTGATTTAGTGTTTCTTTGAACTGCAGTGAGTTTCATTTTAACCCAACATCCCATTCATTTTATATTATTTTGTTACAAGTATGAATTAAATAAGCCTCAACATTGTTTTATGTTATTGTATTATTGTTTTTTTTCTAGAAGGGGGAAAAAAATGAAGGTGACCTTCAAGCTCTCATAAGTGGATTTTTCTTATCACCTGCAGGAAGATGTGTTCAAGTTTTGGAACTCATTTTCATTAACTTTCTACTAAATATTGGAACTTGATTCCTATCATTTTTGTCCCTCACATTGAAAAAAGATTGGACTAAATCCCAAAGTGAGATTTTAGGGTGGTAGTGGAATGGTTTCGAGAGCCAACTTCATTAAGAGTGGGGATTACTCAGGAAACCAAGCAGTTAATATTCAAGAAACCAAGCCTCTGAAGTTAAATGATGGAGATGCCTAAATGCAATAGCCATCACTGTACATATTGCTCAAGGGAGTAGAGACTCCTTTTGATCTCTTTCAGGGTGCAATTGCTAGAATAATTGGTGTTCTTCAAGCATTTAGTATGTTTCAAGTATTTCAAGGTTAGCTTTGAATTTTTTGCTTAATGAAATTTTTCTTCTGGTCTATTTAGTGACCACTTATGTTGATTATGCTTAAGCTTTAGATGAAAATCTTTGTTAATTCTGTTTCCATGTGAACTGAAGCTGTTAACTATCTCATATAGAATGGCTATAGTCTATAAGCTAACAATGATTATCTTTGTTAATTCTGTTTCCATGTGACGAAAGTTAACCATAGCTTATTTTGAGCAAAATTTCTTGCACTTTCGATGCTTTTTTATGAGCTTTGGATCCAACCCCAATATTTTTGCACCAAATGCTATATTTTACATTTTTTTATCGCTTTTGCAAGGCGTTACGTACATTGATAATTTTTTAACTATGTATGTGTCAACGAAAGCGCAAATCAACATTCATATTGGCACAACGTTGGGACTCTGCTTGATGGCTAGCTTATTTTGTGGTCATCAATTCCTGCTTGTGCTCATTTGTTCGTTTTTCTTTTCTTTGTTCAGGTTAGTCTTTTTCCCCACGGAAATTATTTACTTATTTTAAGTGGAACTTTCATGCTATTTAGCAATAGCAGAATTATTATAATTCATGCTAAATAAAATAATTTTATTGAAGGGGTTATAGAGTTCTTGACCTTTAAATAGGAGAATAATAACAAATGTCATCAAGCCATTTGATTGGTGACACAACGGATTCATTTTCTTTTCATATTCAGGCTTCATTTGGGATGATTTTCTTTCTGCTTCTTAAAGCAGATTTCTTGTATAAAAATTTTAGAAAGAAAGTCGTCCATTTTGCATCTTGTAGCGATTATCTTTTTTCTGCTGTACCGTATAAGGTTACGTTCAGCCTTTTGTTTTCATTAGTGAACATAATCTATTTTAGAGCTTGATTTATGGGACTGGTTATCTTGTCCGGTGGTATTTGACCTTACTAATGCTGCTGGGATAATCTTGTCCTAATATAATGCCATTTGAATCACTTTGTCAGCTTAATGAAACTGGTTTAAGTTGATCATATAAGATGGAATATGCCCGATTTTATTCTTTGTAAATGTATCTACATGTGTTGTTCTTTGGGTACTGGTTAGAAGAGAAATGGCAACTTAAGATTTAGGCTTCATTTGAGACAGTTTTTTTGAAATTTTTGTACTAAAAATTTACTTTAGAAAACATTAAGAAAGGCATCTCGAACGATGCCTTTAGTTTACCCAATTAGGCATTGTGTATAGATGACTGGAACATGACTTATTATTGCAAGACCTGGGTAAATCAGGTCCTCGTTAGAAACGAAAAAATGGAGCTCTTCCTCTTGGTTGATATAATGCACACATAAATTGTTGGGAGTGATGCCATAAGGAAATGCAGATATGTTGAGCTAAAGTTAAAGAGCAATGAAAGGTTTCAGCATTAATCTGTAGCCTCAAGCAACCATTAATAATAAATGAAAAAATATGATTTAATTGTCAAAAAATCTTCTTTACGACAATCCTACCTCACAGAATAATTAAATCCACAACAGATGATAAATAGCAGGTGAAATCAATTTTTTCAGTTTATTTATCGAGGCCTCATTTAAGGACATTTTTATACGGCCAAAAAGGGGCTGAGAATGAAGCAATCGACTTCAGCAGAAGCAGCAAAAAGAGCTTATTAACAAAAATTTTAAGAACTTCCAACCGAGATTATTGAGCCAATATAAAAAATATCAATTGAGCTAATTCTTAAGCTCAATTGTGATGATTATCTGATAGACTCATCATGGGTCTTATTTAACAGTTGCGTCTAATTAAGATTGATACCTAACTGTGCTATAATTGGGGTACATTTGGGTCTAATTAAAATTGATATCCAACTTGGCAATAATTGAGGTTGATTGATATCAATTCATTGACAATTGGATCTTATTAAGATTGATACAATTGGGTGATGATTGGGGTGCAAAAAGATGTTGCATTTATAATCACGTGTACATGATAGTATATTTGAATTGATTGATAGTGTACTTTAAATCGTACTAGCATCAATATTGATATAATATGATATAAAATGTTAACATAATTCATTGTATGAGTACGCTTTATTGTATGTCTTATAGTTTAATAGATTTATTTTGACTTCATTGATAATATTAATTTTTGATATTTTTATTGCTCATATTAAGTGATGATTGATATTGACTAGAATTTAAATATACATATTGATTATTTTGCTTTGCATTGAAAGCAGTGACAGAGATTTGATTATCTATTAGGCTTGTTAGCTCATTTTGTAGACTTTAATAATTTTAGGTCAAAAAAGGGGTTAAGATTGCAAGTAGTGACACTGGACGATCTTCATATTCTTCTTTATATTTTGTTATGCATTTTCTTTTTATTTTTTTGTAGTATGAAGTTTGTGATAGATTAGGAATTATAAAGATCTCTTAGCTAGTATAAATGATATTTTTGTGAATGAATAGTTAAAATATTTTGATTCATATGATGTAGATTTATTGATGATTCATAAATCTGTTATATTTTTAAAATGATAAGTAAATAATTCTTCTAAATTTAATCTTTTGGGCATTACAATTGATATGTTAAATAATGAATTTAGGCTAACTACTTGAAAAAAAGATGTATGAACTTACCATATAATTTTTTTTTTAATGATTATGTAAATCTTGTTATGAATGTTTGTTACCTTTGAAATGATCATTATGTTGCATTGAAAACAGTAACATGTTTACTCCATGATTATTGTGGTTTTTTTTTATGGTCTATAATTTAGAGAAGATCTCATATTGGGGATAAATTGATTTTTGAGCTACTCAATGGACATCATTTGAGATTTCACAACATGTTTAGAATGTCAAAATATATTTTTATGGATTCACTTGCTTTGTTTGAATCAACTTATAGATTACATGGGTTACAAAGGATAAGTAGCGGGGAAAATGTTGTTTATACATTTAAGCACATAATGAGTCTATTTCGAGTAACATATGAATGTCTTCATCACTCTACAGTGACTATTTGCAGATATTTATCTATTAGTCTTAAAGCATTAATTAAGCTAGCAATTGAGATTATAACGCCAATTAAAAAACAATTTCATGATATTCCACCAAAAATTTTAACTAATGGGTATTATTTTATAAAAAAGGAGAAAAATCTATGGGAATATAGATTTCTTTTAAAAATTCATTTCTAATTTCAAATATATTTGAAAGTTATTATTGTTTTTTCGCCTTAGATGGTTTGGTCACATAAACGGCGGCCTTCCAATGACCCGGTTAGGAGAGTAGAGGTATTAGATTTGATTTATGTTAAGATAGGTAGCGGCAGACTTAAAAAGACTTGGTTAGAAAATATTAAGAATGACCTTTCTTTATTAGATTTAAACGATAATTTGACCTTTAATAGGACACAATGGAGAAAAATGATTCATGTAGCCGACCCCACGTAGTGAATTGCATGCTCATCTTTTGAGATGATATGTTATTCTTTGAATTATGTTTAATCATAGAAATATTATTTTTTAAAACTCTGTTTTGATATTGAATTTATTGTAGATTATTATGTTAGTCTCCCAAGACTGTATTTTATTCTCAATTCAATATTTGATTATAATATAGGAGAACACGGAATCAGTGTGGTGACGTTAAATATTTCCCCACAAATTTTTCTGGCGACTTTGCTAGGGATTACGTTTTTATATCAAATCATCATATGTGAAGAAAACAAAAGGAGAAAGAGGGTGAGTAGTTCAATTATCTTTGATAAATAAAAGTTTTCAAAGCGTCTCGATCACTGGAGGAGGAATGCAAGATCTAAATTAAAAATTTATTCCATAATTGAATTTGTCTTGAGTAACTCAAAGAAAATAATCTAAATTTTCTAGAGTTTTTATTTGCATGTTCCAAGAGAACTAAATTTTCTTAGAAAAATTTTGACTTTTGCATGAGTTGTTGAAGAACAATGAGCATATTTGAGCATCTTTTATGGTGAAAGCACCAAGAAATATGAAATACTAACAATGAGAAAAGATAGTGAAAGCTTTATTTTTCATTTGATAAATTTCTTATAACATTTTAAAGAGATTGATTAAGTTTTAATCATCTTAATCCAATGAAAATAATAGGTGGGAAAATATTTAAAAAATTAGTAAATGATGGATTGACTCCCTCTAAATTAAATAGTTTGAATATGACCAAAATAAATTTTAATTAAATAGTCAAAATTTAACAACTTTCTTTAAAGAAAATTATAATTTCAAATATTTTGAATTTCAATGTAATGGAAAGATTATTTAACAACGATAGAGTTTTTTTACACTCTAACATCTAATTTTTAGTTTATGATAAAGTGAAGATATACCTTGAATTGAGTTTTATATCTATTCTTTGAAGAATAGGATAAAGCTAAAAAAAAAAAAAGAAAAAATGCATATTATTTAAGTGTTTAGAGGAGTCAACTACAATGAATTTTTTATTATAATTTAAAGAAAATATATGTAAATTTATTTTAAGAGAAATCAACATGCTATTTTCTCTAATAAAATTATTTTTATAAACTTGAATTATATTTGAATCTTCAAAATTTTTTCAAATTAAATTGACTTTAATCTTGAAAATCTTGCATATATCAGATTATGAACCCTTTCGTGTCAAACATATAAAGCTATAGATGACATGTAACTATAATATATTATTAAGATAAGCAGAAAATTTTGATTTGAAGGTTTAAGCTTTTGGACCCTATCGTACCACACATATTAAGTTATGTTGCGTGCTAGAAAATATGCGGCGGTAGAGTTTGTAAATTCATGTCCGAGCGTTGCACATAAATTTAACACACAAACAGTAAGAGAATATGAATACCGGGATTTATACGTGGAAAACCCAAAAAGGGAAAAAACCACGGGGCCTTGCCTAGTTGTAAAATTCCACTAGTGTTTTTGTAAATTACAAGAAACTGATTCGTCTCACAAATCGGGATGATCAGATTACAATTTGAAGCCAATTTACAAAGTTTTGCTGAATCCTGTCGTTTCCCGAAAATTCGGCAGAGTTCCGGCAATTCAGGCGGTAGGAAGAGCTCCGGTGGTGGTCGAGGAGGAGAGGAATCCCCTTTTCCCCTTTTCCTTCTTTTTATCTTCTTTTTCTCTCTTTACTTGAGTCCCTTTGGTGTAGAATGAGGGCTCTATTTATAGTTTTTCTGGAGTGGCATAGCCCGTAAATAGGCGTGAGATCAGGGGCGAATTAGGAGTGTTTTTAATGGACGGTCGATATCGAATCCTTTGTTCATGCACCGTTTGTTGGGCAATATTGAAGGGCCTTTAATGTGTGGAATTCCGGCGATCTTTGGCTCGTTTTGGATTCGTATCCGTTGAGCCCAGTTCGATTGTCGAGTATAAGCTCGTCAAATCGGAGACCGTTTGGTACTCAAATTTGCTGGTTTTTAAACCTTCTAACAGCGCTTTGAGCCCTTGATTCGGACTCATTTGGGCTCGGATTCGGTTGATCTTGGTGTCATTGGGTTCGTATTTCCGAGACGCTCGATTCGACAATAAGCTTGCTGAAATCGGAGTTTGGGGGCTCCAAAATTAATTTTTGAAACTTTCATACTAGCTTTCTGTCTCAAGATTCGTGCCGATCAAGAAAAATAATTTTTTGGAGCATGTATAGTTGCCCCATTTTTGGACGTTGTAGCTTCAAGGAGTTTTGAAATATGCGTCGACAAAAATTTTTAAAGAATTTTCTCAGCGAGCCAAAAATTTATTCTTGCGTGTGGGGGCCTCGGATGACCTTAGAAAGTGCCCAAAATTGAGTCCGGGACATCGAAAAATGGTTCCGGGGACCCAAAAACATCGAACTTTGGAGTTGTCGGGGCGAGAAAAAAGTGGCCCAAAACGGATCGGCGCGGGCGACGGATGGGACAGGCCGGCGGCGCGGGGCCGGCGCGGAACAGCGATCGCCGACCACTCCCACGCGGAACTGCAGACCGCTCGCGCTGTCCGCTTGCGCGGGTGCACGCGAAGCCTTGCGCGGT